CCTCCTCACACCCCTACAGCCTCACCTGGTCCTCCGGACGATATACACAACAGAACCATAAGCCCACCCGGCTGTAACCAAAACAATAGGCCTACTGGCAATAACAAAACAATAAGCCTGCTAGCTATAACAAAACAGTAAGCCTACCGGCCACAACATAAAGTCCAGGCCCACCTGGCTTTCTGACCCACAGCCTCCTGGTCAGGCTTCTCTTCACCCTGACCATCATGCAGCCCTCTGAGTGCTCAGGCTGCACTGCTTAGCTTAGTTCTCCCGCAGAGCTCTTACCCCTCAGGTTGCCAGAAGGGAACTGCCAGCCAGGCTCCGGCCTGGCTGTTTATAAGGGCCTGGCCCTGCCCCCTTCTGGTCACATGACCAACCTGGTTGCTCCAGCAACCCGCACCTGAGCTGCCCTGGTGATTGGCAGCTCAGCCCATACTACCACCGCCAGTAGCAGGCACCCTGGTGCCCTGCTACAGCACCTTTTCTCCAAAAACATCTACTGGAAATTGAAGCATGCATCATAAAACATGAGGAAATACTGTAACATCAGTTTCAGTCAATAAAGCTTCTGTTGGACAAAAGTGAAAGCAACTGTGCACACAATACAGACAGCAGAAAAAGTGAGCAGAGTTGGCTCCTTAGCTTCTGTTAGTCAGTTACTTACTACAATAAGTAAGTAATTTTGCTTTACCCTACAGGCCAGTGATTCTCAATCAGGGAGCCACAGCACCATAGGTTGGATCAAGATCCTTTCAAGGGTGCCATGGGCCATGCAATGTTAGCACAGTTAAGTGGGCAAACGCCTCCATGCGGTTCACAAAGTACACCCAAAGACTTCAAAGAGGAATCCAGTGTCAAAACCATTCTAACCTGTTGTGGTTCGAGTTTTTCGCAACGTAGGAATTACTTTAATTTTTTTTTTTTTGACGACGGAAAGAGTGAAAACTAAGAGCTGGCATTTTCTGTGGGATGCCTCAAGCCTAGAGAGATCGAGAACCACTGCAATAGGTAATATACACTTTACTTCATCCTCAGAGCACACATTCTGTTGCCTGAGGGGCTTCAGTACTAATGGCACAGGCTACAGCCAAAGCACAGTGCAAAAAAGCAATGCTGAAAGCTCTCTCTGCGTACTTCAGTACTGAGTAATCACACTCTGCATATCCTTCTCTTGCCTTTTGCTACTGCAGTCAAAGGGCGTTTGTACATGCCACGTTTTTTGCCCTTTCTTGTGCTGCAACGGTGTGGCTATTTGCACAAGGCTAAGCAGAAACTGCTACTGATGTTTGGAGGAACCTTTGAACCTCTGACAAATGCCAGGCAGACAGGCACCAGTCTCATCTATGAAATCATGCCCATTGCTACGGTACCTCTTCACAACAAATGTCCTCCTGGAATCCCTCCCAGGACTACAAGAATGTGCAATAAAGGATCCCCTCTTCCTTCTGCCTGCATTCCACCCCTCTCCAGATGAACGAAGACCACTGCAAAAGGAGGGCTAAGATGAAAGCAGTCATACCTGGCTGAGAGATGGTTGCCTAGCTTCTTCTTGGCTTCCTTCATGAGATAGTTGCAGACTTTACTCATCTGTTCCTTCATCCACCTAATGTCCTCAGGGACATCTGGCAGCCATTCCAGGAGCCTGAGGAGAGGAAGGGAAGAAACAGGACTATTAGGCAAAGGGCTGCAGGTGGCTCTCCATAGGTATGACAGCAGAAGAAAAGCCATCTTGCAGACCATCTATCCCAAGCCCTGGGGCCAAAGCAGAATTGTTCCTTATCACAAGCCTTGTCAAGGCTTCATCCAAGCCAATTTGAAACAGCTAGAATAATGGTGCTTCCACCACTTCCTGACAGGGCAGACCCCTTGACCTGAAAAGCATGGCAGAGGTACTCATTGATTTTCCTCTGTGGTACTGCCACTCACAGGTTCCTCTGTGTTGCCATCTCATGCAGTTCATGCAACTCAAGGAGGAAGTAACCATAATACAGGAGAGGCATTTGATCTTTAAATGTCATATTTATACTCTCACCACACACATTTTTAAACAACTTACAAGCTTGGGGGGGGGGGAAGGGGAGGAAGGAAGGAGGGAAGAAGAGGAGCAGCAAGGGAGGAAGTGTTTTTGTTGGGCACCAATAGCAACAAGACCCATGGACTTGTTAGCTGCCAGAAAACAGCTTGGGTGACAAAATAAGATCATCCCCCTTCCCCTTCCCCACTCTAATCCAAAACACCACAGTAAATTTTCAAGGATTAACAAGAGTGCTCTTCCCTCCCCCTAGGAGAGACAGGACTATGCTACTTCCACCCAGGCATCCTTCATTCCTCTGTCCTAGGTTTCTGCCTTGCACCTGCCCACTTCCATGTGTAAAGGCTTCATTAGCTACTCAAGGGGAAGTGTACTGCAGTCTCACCAGGATGCATTCTGGAAGCCAGTTATGTTCAAACAACTGAGTCCAACTGGTTGTGGCTGAAGCCCAGATACAATTGACTCACAAGAACTGAAGCAAGGTCCCTCCTGACCTGACCAGCTGTTGTGTAGCAAGCAAGGCGGAAACAAATCTAGTTTTTGCCCTCCAGCCAACCATGCTGAATGCTAAACAGTGGTAGGTAGCAATGAAAATAAACCTGAGGCCTACCTGACTGTGAAGGAGATGGCAGACTCTAAAGGCAGCATGTATGGGATCATCATGGCAGAGACCACACGCACAGGCAGCAGCTTAGAAACCGAAGTAAACCGGCCCCCTCTCTCAGCACAAACCTCCATAAGGGCTGCAGATGGAGAAGAACATGGGTAACCGTTTACTTGACAGCCTAAACTAGATTTTTCTGGCACAGCCACCTTCTCTCCAGTAGCACAAAAAGCTATAAAACACTGACCCACCTGCCTGGAAATCTCACAGTGTATCAGTACTTTCTGAACAAAGATACAAGGAGCACAAGCATTTAGCTTCACCTGGCTCATAGGGAAACAACCAGATAAAATTCATCCTCTCGCATTTATGTGAAAAAGAGGCAAAGGAGTTTTCTGACCAGTTTACTGGAGCTCCTCAAACAATTAACCCATCAGGTTGCACTATACATCTCCCTCAGTCTCAAGAGGATGAGCACCTGTCAACCTACTACTACAGAACCTGGCTCTTGGGGTCAGGAAGTAGAAAAACTTGGCTTTTGAGGTCTCTGATGGCCATCACACAAATGACACTCCCCCCATGTGATGAGATGTGCTGATCAATTTAGAAAGGAAACAGACTTTCAAATGGGACAGGCAGAAACATCCAACTGTTCTCTTCCCAGACTGTACCTTGGTTCATTCTGGGTGGCAAGTGGTCGAAGATATCATCTTCAACAACAGCTAGGGCAGAGTCCTCTTCCATCTGGTCCTCAGCGCTGATTTCCTCCTCTTCTGCACCCTCCTCCCCTGCAGAGTTTTTGATGGCAAGTAGTGGACCTGTAGGCTTTGGCTGATTAAAAAGACCTGGGGACAGAAGGCATACGCTGATATTGTAGCGACTCAAAGTACAGGTTTCCCTTGCTTTATGCGAGTTCTGTATGTGCGAATTTACTCTTATGCGATGATCCTTTTTATACCAAAAATTCATTACATGCAAGGTAAACTCACTATTATGTGATCGGTGTGGTGGAAGCCTGCAGTCAGCTGCCCTGTGGAGGGCATTGTGGGAGTAATGTGCACCAAAACAGTCTCCCGTGTGGATCCGTGCTCCTCGCTACTTGTCTGCAAGATGTGTTTCTGTAGTTGCCATCCCCATTATGGTAACATTCACCACCACCCTGTGCTCATGTGTACTGTCTGCTGTTGGCGAGTACCAATATTGTCTTGTAAAAGAGGTAGAAATGGGTCTGGGGGAAAGTACAGTCAAGGCCTTGGAATGTATCCCTATTTGTTACATTGTAAAGTAGGTTCCCTTTATGTGAATTCGAGTTATGTGCCGTTTTCCAGGAACAGGTGTACAGCATAAAGTGAGGGACACCTGTAATCATTTCACTTGATGGCAGCTTAGATGAAAGGTGGCACTGTCATCTCATCCCTCAAGGGAAGGAACTTCACAGCTGATACAAAATCCCTACCTCCAGCAGCTGATGGAGCTATTTGGGCTGCCTCCCTCCATGATACTATTATGCATCACATTAGATTTCTGGTGCTCTTGTTCAAGACTAGAGAGCCTTTCCCCAAGCAGACCTCTTAGCATGTTCCATAAGTACTGCAAGCCAGTCCTTTCAGAACTGCTTTGCTGTTCTTCGTTCTAATGGCCAACTAAATCCTAATGCATGCAGGTATGTTGGCTTTATGCATGCTCAAGGCCCTCGCATGCTGGGCAGGATCTGTACAAGTAAATATGAGTCTATGCCCATTTGAAATATTGGTAAGGCTCTGCATTTTAAGGTCATTAGCAACCATGTCGCTACACTGCTCCAGTGTGGACCCCTAACACTTATGCCTTGCACTGACACAAAGCTGGGCTTTCCCCAACAACACAGAGCCAAGAAACTGCATATGCTTCTTTGATGCACATGGGGCCCAAGCACACCCAACAAAATGAGTGAGTAAACTTGATTTGCAAAGGGTCAGCCACAAGGTGGCACCACAGACAGACACATGCCATCTCCAATTGCATCTGTGTTAATGAAGCAAGCTGGCTGTAAAGTTCAAGCAGAAGCTTTTACAGCATGGCTGCAGAGGACAGGAGCACTCTGTTCCCAGAAATGCTGAACTACACCTGGGATGTTACTTTCACCACCTAAAATATCTAAGGCAAATATTCACAGGCAGAGTCACCCTGACTTGACCAGGAATCATCTTGGACCTCCTGTACCCGCACCCCCACACCCACCCACTAGGCAAGGTTCTTTGGGTAAATGTGATATCTTATTAGACCAATGAAATACTGTATTTTATAGCCTATGTGTCAACATCATGTATAACCCGACCCGTTTTCTGACGCAAAAAGTTAAGATTAGCACAGGCAAGGTGTATTAGTTGGGGCTCGGCTCGGCTGATGCGGCCCTATCCCCTGCAAGCAGCACTGCCTGGGCCACGCCAGCCCAGCACCAAGCCTGCTGCTGTGAGTGGCACTGCTGAGTGCAGGTCAATATGGGGAGCTGGGCTATCCATGGCCCTATCCCTTGTGAGCAGCACTGCCTGGGCTGCACCAATGCTGCTCACAAGGGATGGGGCTGTGCCAGCCAACCACTGAGCCCATCCCCTGCAAGTGGTGCCGGTCTTGGCACTTGGCCAGGGACATGCCATGTGCAGGGGACTAGGCCAGGCTTGGCGCATGTAGCCCTTTCCCTGTGAGCGGCACTGGTGTGGCCCAATCAGCGCTGCTCGCAGGAGATGGGGACACTGTGTCGAGTTAGATTTTTAAGCCCCAAAAATTGGGCTTCAAAACCCAACTTATACACTGTGAAATATGGAAGTTTTTTGCAGGCTTTTTGGGCACAAACACCCTCCATCAAGCAAAGAACTTTTTTCCAACTATTTAGTTGATCTAATAAAGGATATCACACCTACCCAATGAACCTTGCCTGCCTGTGTCCTTAGATCAACATGGCTACAACCAGCAACTTCCCCCTCACACCACCAGGAATTTATACAGATCAGGTTCAGTCTGCAGCATAGCAGGGGTTAAACAGTTTAGGCACTGTCTCTTTTGTGCAAATGCTGATACTCTGCTCCTTACCATTCTTCTTCAGGAACCGCAGTGCGTCCCGGTAGCCCTGTTTGCACATCTCTCGCAGCACCTGCACGGACACAGATAGGGCAGGTCATTTCAGGCAGTGGGGGGATGGACTAGTGTGACTTGGAGACGGCTCTATTGACTACAGCACTACACAACTCTCAACCTAGTGCCAGGAGGTCTGCAGGCAATGCAGAAATCCTCCTGCCACCTTCTCTTAGCCTGCTGCCTGGGTGGGGCAGGGCTCAGGAGGTCTGCTCACCTCCCTCCCACCACTTATCCCCACTATCTTGTTCTCTTGTTCCCAAGCTCAGTCCTGGGCCAGAAAAGGAAGGGAATGGAGATGCAACACTGCTGTGGGCAAGGGGATCTCTCAGCCTCCTGTGCAACAAGAGCTGCTTCAGATCAGCAGCAGGCCAAAAATGGAAGCCTTCCCTAGCAAGTGCCAGGATGGCCCACAGTGTAGCTGCCTTTATAAAGTCCTCCAGGAAATGGGAGGGGGTATGGGCCAAGTTAAGCAGGGCACTCTTGTTTGTTATGCACAAAAATACCAGGGCCAATCAGCAGCTCTATTTGTTCCAAAAGGGAAACACATGCAGCCATTTATAGCATACCATCTGTTTCACTGGCTAGCACTGGGGGCACCGTAAACAGCCTATGGTTGCTGGTGCCAGCTGGGCCTTTAACAAAAGGCCTGAAGAGCAGACTACTCTGGGTGTTTCTGCATCCTTATTCTAAAAGCTCCTTGGGTGCTGCCTATTAGATGCACATGAAAGTACTCTCTTCGAGACTCCACCAGGACCTAATTTCAGGATTTTCCAAAGGAACAAAAACCTACATAATGTGTTTTAGATGCTTCTGGGATGAACTTGGACTCCTCCAACTGAGGGGGGGGATGCAAAAACTGGGGTGGGGGAATAAGACCCAGAGCTCCCTCTGCACAAGCAGCCCATGGCAGCAACTGCCCTGAGTGGCCACAGAAGACTCACCAGAGGCTCTGGAGGGAACAAGGCCTTTGAGAGGCGGTAGAGGTTGCGAAGGTTGAACTGGATGCTGGTGTTGGTGACTCTCAGCTCATGGATGTTTGTGGAGCTGTCCCTGGGGCAGATGTCACTCTCACCCGAGAACGGAGACACAGTGATCGTGTTCTTCAGCTCATATTGTGGTAAGTTATCCGAAATCCCTCCATCAACATACCTCTGGAGGGAATTAAATAAATAAATAAATGAATGAATGAAGAGGAGGAGTTTTCCTTGTGTCATGAATGCAGATTGAGATGGAAAAACTGCTACACATATCTGTGCCTGTGCTTACATGGTGGGACAGGGCTTCAAAGAAGTCCTTGCTAGCACTGGCTGAACTAAGAGCAACAAGTTCATATCCAATGAAAGGTCATTACGGACACCATAAATCAGTTTTCTGCAAAAATGTTTCTCCTCTAAAGTGTTTGTGGGCTACAGAAGAAAAAAAAAAAGTGCACCTCCCTTCCCCTAACAAAAGGAATATAGATTCATTAACACTTGTACCAGCAACCTTAAACCCTTTGTGGATTTGGGAGCCCTCCAATCAAGAAGGAGCAGAAAACAAATAGGGTGACACACATCTATGACCAATCACAGCTAGCTACAGTCCCCACAACAGGTTTGCAAGAAAGTCTCTACTTTGACACATTCTTCTAAACCACTGTCCTAATCCTGTTTGAGCTGAGAGTTAGTAACACCAGAACCTGCTGGAAGATATTTTGCCAAAAATAAAATAGGGGTAGAGGATTTGCTGCTAGTTTATTTGCCCAGCTGGAAGCCACATGCATGCCCCCCCCTTAAAACATGTATAAAACTGAACATGTTAGCTGGCTATGCTTAGTTCATTCCCATGCCAAAACTAAGAGGGGCTCTGGCTCCGCATACAGGTTTACTGCAAACATGCACATGTTTGTTGTTATTCTTCATGGAAAGACTATGCTTCTGGCATGCTCATTTTGGATGATAACTGAATTCAAAGCATCCTTTGAATTATTATTACTATGCCAAGGCTCAATAAGATGGCCTCTCCCCTCTCAGTGACATCCTGGATACAGAAAGCAGCATCCACAGAATAAAGAGATAAGCTGCTGGCTAGGCTGATGGGGGTATTAAGACAGAAGAGACCCCTGAAGGGCAATGAGCCAGCATCCGGTAGCCTCACACCAGCTCCACCACTGAGCTGCAGTCATCTGCATGGTCATTCCCATTGGGAAAGATTTTAGGGCAAAGCCATCAGCAGCCTACAGAAATGGGCACCTTCACTATCTTCAGTGGTCCTGTAGGAACCAGAGGGGAAGCAAACAAGCCCCGTCTCCAAACATCCACAGTGCCTGATGGAAGACAGTGCAAAGATGAACAGCAGCTGGCTGGAGCTCCATCCAAGCAGGGGAGAGGGGATGCTGGTAGGCAAATACAGATGCGCACACAGAGCTCTAAAGAGCAGATCATGGCAGAGGGACTGCAAGGCTTGGAGAAGATAACAAACGAGAAGCAGGCAGATGATCTGGAAAGCCAGCTATGCGCTATACTGGGACACTCATTCTGTCCTTGAATTCTGGCTCCTGTTGCAGCCAGGCTTATGATGAGGGTGGGTCTCTCGCTATGCAATGCCTGGGAATGAGCTGGATGTTATGAGCAGTGGATGTTTATCATTCTGTTCTCTCCGTCTGGAAGGGAGACAGGCTACACATCTCCAGCTGGCTCCCATCAGGCCCCTGATGCCCTTATTATTAAAACATCCTTATGTAACAGTTTGGGGGGGGGGGGCCCCCTCCACCCACAGCCTTTCACCTACTTCTCCTGGATAATAAACAACACTCGCTGACCTTCCCCGACAGGCTCCCGAGCCTAGGGGAATGAGTTCAGCTGCATGGCTCCTACAACTCTCTGGAAAGGACAATCCCCGACAGGACCACACCGGGCCACAGACCACTCTCCCAAGGCAGCCCAAGCAGAGGTGCTGAGTACATGGGGGCATGAGGGCCCTGATCCCCCTTGGGAAGAGGGCTGTCACCCAAAATGCATAAGACTTTCCACATGTCCATCATCTTAGCTGCTCACCCCCCAGCAAAAATTAAAGTTGGTACCTACAAGCCCAAGGGATGTTTCATAGGTATATGGTTAACTGTGGTTGGACAAGAGTGGGGAAGCAGGCAATTCTGATTCAGGTGGCACTAAGACTTCAAGGATAAATAGGAAAACATTTTTAAAAACTGCTTTTATATATTCACACGCACACACACGACTTGACTAAATGGCTCTTCCCGCATCAAGTCACTGGTACACGCCAAGGTAATGTTCACCGAGAGAACACTGGCACCAATACATGCCCACAGTGAGTGAAACAGTGACTGATCACTAACTCCTGCCCACTCAGGTTTTGAGGGAGATAAAAAGGGGAGGGGGAAAAAAAGGAACAGAAAACAAGGGGAATACAATCAGTGTGATAGCAATAAGTGGCCTCTGCACAGGGTCTGGTCTGAAATCTAATGATCTTCTAGCATTGACTAATTCCCAATACCTACCCAAAGTCCCTCTCCCATATTCTATTTAAAATGATCCCCATCTTCCCTGAAGAAAAGGACAGCTGTAGCTACTATGGGGCATTGTCCCCTTCGGAAGCAGCTGCTCAAGCAAGACAATCACTTTGTACAGCAAAACAGAGAGACCTAACACATGTGAGCCTTCCTAGAAAAGATACACAAGAGGGGAAGAAGAATGTGTGTAAGAGGAAAACAGCAAGTGAAACTAGACATGCCTGCTTCCCTATGCAAGCAGTTGTTGAATGCTGCACTACAAGTTGGTGCCATGGTCTCAAGTTCAAGGTCAGTGGTTTTGCTGCTATGCTGCAGTAGCTTCTGATTGCCTGCAAGTGGCAATATGAATGAACAGATGCAGAAGAAATGGTGCTTTGCTGCTGTGGTGGTGGCAGGTAGTGCAGGGGGCCCTCATTACAAGGGTTACCAAGGGCATCTATAATCCTTATAATTTTTTCCACTTTTGTCTACCAAGTGTGCCTAGTCAAGGTTCATCTGCAGAGACAGGCAGTCACCGCTGCTGTGGTGCCCTGCCTCTAGGCAACACTACCACAGCAAACCGTGGTACCCCAAGACTTACCCTGCACAGCCCTTTTTAAACCTGGATCACACCCACTGTGTCTGGGCAGCACATCTGGGTTGAAACATGGAAAGTGTTTGAAGTGTTTCAGTGTTCAAACATGGAAAGAGAGGACCAGCAGAGTGCCCCAGAAGGTACTATGTCAGAACTGGTGTTTAAGTGCATTTATTAATAGCTCGGAAAAGTGGGAGAAGGGCAAGGCTGGGGAGTGGGGGATTGAAAAAGGTGAAGAGTTCATTGGGCGAGTTAAATCCACGGGGGGGGGGGAATTGAAGGACAGAGAAAAATCTAACCAGGCAGTCTTATGCTTACATTTCAAGTTACAATATTTCGCACTTAACTGACACCTTGTTTCAACTTTCTGACATCAGTTTCAACATTACAACACTTGATCTGATGCAATGTCACGCCAGCGAACAAGTTCGCTGCGTCACCCATCTCCCTGGAGAACATCTGTCCAAATTTCCTTGGACACTTTCTTTAAGAAAGCAGACAAGACTCCAGAAAAACCTGCAGCCAAGACTCCTGAGAAGACTCCAGCCAAGAGCCTTCAAAAAGTCCAAAGTCACCTCAAAGAAGTCCTCCAAATCAATATGATTGCTATGTACAATATAAATACATTAATGTAGCTATATTACTCATCTATAATTGACTGAGTACAAAATTCTGGGCTATTTTTGGTGAAAATAGGGTATCAGGCCTTGGTTCAGGAACTAATCCCCCATTTATAACATTGTTTCCTATGGGAAACAAATTGGTTCCAAGTTGCACTGTTTTGACTTAAGATGCAGTTTTCAGGAACCAACTGTGTTGCAAGTCCAAGGACTGCCTATATAATGCGCTCAGTCCTCAGGATAGGGTTGGGGCACATGTCGATTAGACAAGCTTGGAGAAGGAGGGGGCAGGGTGTAAAGAAGTCTGCCCAGAGTCTGCCTGCTTCTGGGGTTAATTTAACCTCATATTCCCATTCTTTGGTACATGCTTTCCACAGCACGTGGTTTCTCACACAAGCTGGATGCTAGTGACCTGCTGGTAAGGACCTGCTAGTTGTTCATTTTTTGTGCTGCAGTTAGAGTTCATAGCCAGAGGATGATGGGCTGACTTGCCCTCTCTAGTTTTATTTTGTAGTATGTGATTAATAATCTTCGAAACCCCAGGACTAGCCAGAGAACAAGACTGGGTTCAAAGTTCATTCCCTCTTCACCTCATGGTCTATGCAAAGCAGGAGAGCAAAGGGATTCATTTGGTGCATGCCTTTGGGTCTTGTCAAGAAGATACAGCCACATGGCAAAGGCTTCATTTCAGTCTCACAATAGGAGACTCTGAGCTGCAGTGGCTGTTTTTACATATATAGCTATTTTAGAGAGGAGATCATTTGGGTTTAGGTTCCTACAAAATGCCTCCTATGACTCTGCTCAGGTTGCTGGAACCAAAAGGATCGCATGTTTAAGTCAAGCTTTTCTTCATGGTGCGTCTCCCCTCTCCAGTTATTCTGTTCACTGCACAGAACACTGGACATGTAGTCCAGTATCTAGATCACGCACTAGTCAGTGAATTCCCCCATTCCCAAAGGGCAATGGTATTTTCCAGGACAAAGAGGGACATTCACTCTCATCATATTCTCTTGCATGTTGCCACACAAGAGACCTTGACCCATGGGCAGCTTCCTGGTCAGTGCACCAGCAAAGCAGCTTTCCAAGAATCCAAACATGGGAAGGAAAAAAAAAAGTTTAAGCATTTCATGTGGTTTTGGACTGTATAAGTTTGGCTCAGCTGTGCCAACCCAGCCTGGCACAGTCAGGGAGTTCTCACACAACAATAGCAAAGTGAGAGACAGCGCTGTCCACATCCCATGTTCATGGTCCCACTGGACTGCCCAAGCCAGGGCCTGTTTTGCAACTTCTGGCACGTCACATCAAGGGTCAGTGACTGCACATTTTCCCCCACCACCTCACTTGCCCTCCCATGCTCTCCTCACATGCTTGCATAGCAAAAGGAAGTGCAAGATCTAGCTTTGCCATCACTCAAAAAAGAGCTAGGTTGGCCTTGTGGCAATGGGCACTACTCTGGGACTCAGACTAGCTTCACCACAGACTTCTGGTGTGACCTTGGTTTTGCTACTTAGCCTCACCTCTGCCTTAGTTCCCCTTCTGCAAGGGAAGCAAGGTATCTTTCCTGTAGCCCCTTGTCCATTTAGACCCATTCTTGAAGTAAGGGGCTGTCCTTTACAAGGTGTACATAGCACCCTGGCACCTCCCAAGCTCCAGCAAGTCCTCTAGGCCAGTGGCTTTCAATCTTTTTCCATTTGTGGACCCCTAAAAATTTTTGAATGGATGTGCAGACCGCTTTTGTAGTATTGCAGTAACTATAACTGCTTTTATTACTTATATTGTTATTTTTATATAATGAAATATTTAACCATTAAGATAAAGTTAATGTTGTTATGATTTACTTTTTATAATATTTTGATTAGTCATTATTAGTGTTATGAAATTAACCATCTATTTTAAAATTTCCTGTTGCTTAGCATAAATATATTTGACCTATTGGTCTCATGATTCAAGAACTTAAATTTAGCATACGGAAGATGTTTATGCAAGGTTTGTGGTATGTCTGGGGTATGTGGAAAGATGCAATGAAAGAGTGAATTACGTATGTATATGTGACATGAAGTCCTCCCCACCTTCATACTTTATTCACCCACCCTTAGTTACATTACTGGCACCAAGTTTAGTTGCTCAAGGATCTTGAAAAGATCTCCCTAGTAAAAACGGTACAAAAAAAATGCTTCTCTACAAGGACTTCTAGAATCAGACTAAAAGCCCTCGAGATAACCGTGCAAGGGCTAGATACAATGAAGAAGCTTGGTGACTTATCCCCGATTTCTATAATGGTAATTAACTAGGTTGCATTCCTTGGTAGCTCCAAATACACACACTTCTGCATATGCAGAAGAGCAGGCCAGCTCCATTGTGAAGCTAAAGGGACAGTCTATTAAACCATCGAGTCCTTTGCCTAGATAGGCGTCTCTTCCAGGCATGCAGAGGAGGAAGGAGTGGCATAAGTCATTGCCACTCACCTCATATAACAGGAGCTCTAGAAAACCAAACTGCTCCAGCACTTTACAGTACAGATCCTTCCTCGGCCCATCCCAGTCACTCACCACTAGCACTCTACCGCAGCTGACCATCTAGGCTCACTTGTGCAAGACCATGTTGATTTACCTCCTATCTATCTGCTGTAAAGTATTTACAGAGCAGTAGGCTTTCTTCCAACCTCTCACCCTTGACCAAGCTTTCTCCTCAGGGAAATCTCGTCTGCCCAGACAATAGTCTCCTCCGAGCAAAGGGAGAGCCCCACGCTATCATTAAAAAGCGATGTTGTCTTTTTCAGACTTTCTTTTAAGCAGCACTAGAGACAGACATACCATATTTTCCTCACATGACGACATGCCCCAAAAATAGAATATGCACCTTGTTTTTGGAAGCCAGAGTAATGGCTGCATAGGCCAGGGACAGAGCATAATCTTTACCTGACCCACCCTCCCTTTCCTACTCAACTAAAGGCAAACCCTAGCTGCTGTTGACCACTAGTCTCCATGGGTGGACCTATGATTTTGGAGAGAGCTAAAGAGTCTCCAGGACTGTAAAATAGGAAGATAAAAACCAGCAGTAGCCACCTAGCAGACGGCAAAACTGCTCTAAGAAAAAATTGAGTTCGATAAGTGGAACATTAAGACCATAAAAAAAAAGAAAAGAAAAGAAAGAGGAAATAATCATTAAGACTTCTGGAGAGAAAAAACAATAAGCCATTGTCCATTCAGCACCATGAAGCAGGTTGCTTCTGTCTCCGTCAGAAAAAAAAACAAAAACTACAGCTTCTTCACTTAATGCATGTCCTTAAATTTGGTCTGATTTGGGTGTGGAAAAGTGCATGTTGCAGGAGATGAAAAAACGTACGTACACATGAGCTAATGTGGTAGTTCTGCAAGGGCTTTCCCAGGGACATCAGCAAGGCAGCTCAAGTCACATCTTAAGGCAATTCATCTGATTTAATTACTGTCAATTAAACTTTAACAACTCCTTCCATTGCTAACTAGGCTGGACCTTGTAAGCACTGAATTTTCAAATTGTAAGCCACTGGATTCTCCTACAGAATCACCATGGAGTAAAAGGAATAAACATTATCAGTACCCCATATTTTCCTAGGAGGTCTCTAGCCCAGAGGATTAGGCAAATCCCTACTCATGCCTACTCTTCTTAGCAAGATGAAGCTCCAAATCAGAAATGTTTGTGTTGACAGAATTAAGCCCAATCACTTAACAGTGATAACAGAACAAGCTGCCAGCTCCTGATGGTACATACCCAAGACCTCTGATGAGATTTCAGAGCATTTCAATTGAGCTGCTACTTTTCTCCCTTAGCAACCATTTACTACAGCAAAGAGAGGATAGGTAGCAAATACCTTCCTTCAGTAGCAAGAAGTAACATGCATCAAAAAGGTAAGGGGGAATTATAAAAGCACCCAAGGAACATGACAATCTAAAGACTGGTTAGTCCAGCTATGTTCCAGAGCAAACCCACCTCAGCTTTGCAATCTAATAGGATTCTTTGAGCAGACCCCCATAACAGGTAAAACAAAAATCGGTAGACAGCGTTTGCATGGTTTTTAAGAAAAATCTCTTGACAAAGTGATCTCATGACAAGGACATATTAAGGGAACATATGTAGCCATGAGAAAAATGCAAAGTACTGGTGTGGATTTGCTGCTGGCTCAAAGGCTGAAATCATGGAGTAGAGATAACCTGGCAGTGTTCAAAAATGGAAAGAGGTGACTAAAGTGTGTCCCAGAAGGTACTACCATCAGAGCTGGTGTTCAAGAGCATTTATTAATGGCTTGGAAAAAAGTGGGAGAGGGGCAGGGTTGGGGGGTGGGGGATTGCAGATGGTGAAGTTCATTGGGTGAGTTAAAATCTAGAGGGGGAGATGGGAACTGAAGGACTTCAGAGAAAGATCTAACCAAGCAGTGAATGGCCAGTACAATGGCAGAAGAAATGTCCTAAGAGCATCCCAAACATGAAGTCCAGTCCCCTAAGTTCATAGGCAGTCACTTTTCCAAAGAATCTTTAATATTGGGGGGGGTGCAGATTGAGGACCCCACAGTGAGGAAGGGAGTGGGGCTGGGGC